CGCGCTCGCTGTTGTCGCCCTGTTGATGACATCAGCAACGCGATTTAATCGGGCGCGCTTTAGTCGAATGCGGGTTTGTGGTGGAACCTGCTGATTGGACGGAAGACTCGGGGGGAGGGGGGCGCGTGACGAAGCTTTATTTTAATTGGGTGTAAAACTGGCGGGAACTTAGAGCCGGTTTTCCACCACATTCCACCAATGTGATATGTCCCAATAAAATGTTCTTTGAGGAATTTGCCCGCCTCACAGTTCTTATTGAATGCGATGTATTACTTAGAATCCTGACATTCTCTTAATCTCCCCTCCTCACAGTTCATGGCCGCCTGTCACCGCATAACAACGAAGGACAGCAACCGTAAAGGTGACAGCTGACACCGATTTCCTTTCGAAACATCGGAGATTATTAATTTGCAACACGGGAGCCTTTGAAGATGGCTTCCCCACCTTCAGGAAAGAGATAATTCCTCACACTTCCTCCTCACCCCTGGGATGAATGAGACAAAAACTTACCTCGTGCCAGCAACTGTACATGATGGCATACACCCTGTCGGAGGCCAGCTGGGGGCGGTAGAGGCGCAGCCCTTTGATGACGTGGTCGGTGGTCTCGCTGTTGCTGAACCTCTCGTAGGGCATCTTCCCCAAAGCGTGGACCTCCCACATCAGAACACCTGTCCATGGCGACAACATCACAGAACGTGAGAGCCAGAGCCACCACCTCTAGTTTTAACCTCTTCTGAAAGGCCACTCAATTCTGCGTGTAAGATTCCTGGCCTCTAGGCCAGAAAGTCTGCGGTCTCTTTTGCAAACGGCAGTTGTGTGTACGGGACAAACACCATACAGGTAGTCCATGACTTGCGACCATTCATTTAGTGTCCCTTCAAAGTTACACTGAGGAAAAAATGACCACACCTGGAATACGGCATCCAGTTTTGGTCACCACGTTACCAAAAAGAGGTTGAGATTTTGGGGGAAAGCACATAGAAGAGCAACGAAGATGCTTAAAGGAGCCGAGGTGGCGCAGTGGTTAAATGCAGCACTACAGGCTACTTCAGCTGACTGCAGTTCTGCAGTTCGGCTGTTCAAATCTCACCGGCTC